CTTTCTTTCTTTCTTTCTTTCTTTCTTTCTTTCTTCCTTCCTTCCTTCCTTCCTTCCTTCCTACCTACCTACCTACCTACCTTCCTACCTACCTACCTACCTACCTACCTACCTACCTACCTACCTACCTACCTACCTACCTACCTACCTACCTACCTACCTACCTACCTACCTACCTACCTACCTACCTACCTACCTACCTACCTACCTACCTACCTACCTACCTACCTACCTACCTACCTACCTACCTACCTACCTACCTACCTACCTACCTACCTACCTACCTACCTACCTACCTACCTACCTACCTACCTACCTACCTACCTACCTACCTACCTACCTACCTACCTACCTACCTACCTACCTACCTACCTACCTACCTACCTACCTACCTACCTACCTACCTACCTACCTACCTACCTACCTACCTACCTACCTACCTACCTACCTACCTACCTACCTACCTACCTACCTACCTACCTACCTACCTACCTACCTACCTACCTACCTACCTACCTACCTACCTACCTACCTACCTACCTACCTACCTACCTACCTACCTACCTACCTACCTACCTACCTACCTACCTACCTACCTACCTACCTACCTACCTACCTACCTACCTACCTACCTACCTACCTAGAATCCCATGGATTTGAGGACTTGAGGATTTTTTAATTAAAAAACTTTACTAAATTCTGGTTTTAAAGGTGCTCTGAAAAGCTTCTGGATTTGTTCAGATTCACCCGTTTCTTATGATGCTTTGAGACTTAAAAATGATCTCCAAAGCTCCAAATTAGAACGCTTAAACACACAGAAAACAGGGTTTCCTAGAAAATGCTTAGTCTGTATTTTCAGCACTGAAATGGTATTGAGTTGGTGGGACAAAGTGTTTGCCCAGATATTCATTGGCGCTAGCATTTCTTGATACCACTGCTTCTGAAATTCCTGATGCTGAAACAGCTGGTGCAGGGTGCCCCCTTCTGGGATAACTAGCTAGTTAGATCTCTGCGTTTTCCAGAGGGGGCTTTCATTGTACTATAATACCACAGTTTTGCTCTGGTGGGAGCAGATACTGTTGTCTTTGATTTGTGGCTAACCCATTTTCTTCCACAATTTCTGTCCCCCCCCCGCTTTATTTCCACAAATAAATAAAGAGATAAATACAGAAAATAACTTTGCAGGAGCCAGCTGCTCTTCATGAAAGCTTATGGAAAATAAAGCTTGTTAGTAGTCTTTAACTCAATGATCTAGGGTCCCTTCCAGCTCTGTAGTCCTATTATGATGCTGATGCTGATTAATGTGCTTCAATATTAATTTTTTAAATTAAAAAAAAAAGTTAAGAAGGGGGGAAGAAAGAATTGACGTGCAGGGCTGAAGCGTCTTCTGTGTTTTGCAAGGCAACCTATAAAACATGATTTTTTAAAAAAATTATCCGGGAAAGGATACGTAGAATGGATAGGAGTATGTCAAGGGTTCAGCAGTGTGAAGGAAGTGGCTGTTGAAGACAGCAAGAGAGGAGGGAAAGGGGAGGAAGGACATGTGAAAGGGGACAAATGGGGGGTGGGGGTGGATACAATCACAAATATAGCTCAGTGATTTAGGTCTCTGGCTGCAGAGCCAGACGATAGGAGTTCAATTCCCCCACTGTGCCTCCTTGATGGGGGGCTGGATGTGATGATCCATAGGATCCCTTTCCAGCTCTGCAGTTCTGACATTATATCTCAGTATCTGTGTGAACCCAGCATGCTTAGCCAACGGGGAACATGAGCGTCCTGTTGCATCAGGAAGGGGATAGAAAACCAGGGAAGCAGGCAAGTCGGTCGGTCAGTTTCTCTGTCTCTGTATTCCACCTTTTTCCTTAAAAGAACCCAAGATGGCTTACATGGAATACAGAGCTTGGGAATGTGTTTGGGGTTTTTTTGGGGTGGGGGGAATAATGCCTTCAAGGTACCAAGATCTAAGAAGTGTTCCCCCCCAAAAAAAGATGAGATTTCTGAGCTCTGATTTTGAGAAAAAAGGATGTCAGACAGCCTGAAGGGTGGAAGCAGAGCCCTGTGTACTGGGAGGCTTTGTTTAAATCCTACTTTCCACCCTTGTTTCTGATGTTCAGGCTGAAAGCGCGGATCCTTACGCAGCCCAAAGGGCGCCCTCCCTGGTGTATTCATTTTCCCCTCCTTTCCCTCCTCTTTTAGAATATCCACGGCGAGTCTCCTGCGGTGTGTCCCAGACTGGAGGTGGCGAGGGCAGCGTGATGGCAGAGAAGCGACCCTTGGAGACGGTGGACTCCCTGAAATACCACAAGCTCCCTCGTCTAGAGGCTGAGGCGGGCCCTCACGTCCACCGGGCAAGTTTATGCAAGTCCAGTGTGCTTCCCAATTACCCCTTGGACAGCCTTTATGGCTACAAAGGATCGTACTTTGCTTACCCACTGCAGTGCCACGAAGGGCCCAAATCTTTGGCTCACTGGGCACCCTCGGAGGCCTACACCCATTGCACGGGGAGTCCAACCACCCAGCCGCTGTGGACAGAGAAAGGCTTGGGGGCCCAGGGCCAGATGACTGGGAAGGAGAAGAGCAGCAACTGTGTTTCTCAAGAGACCCTGGCGGCTCCAGAGAGGTGGGCCAGCTGGGCCGGCTACCCGGAGTTTTCTTCCCAAGCTTGGCTCCACAGCTACATGGCTCAGCAGTCTCCTCGAGCGTCAGCGCATTGTCCAAACTTGGCGGTGCCCAAGCCTGTTTACCAGAACCACGTTTACACTGCTGAGGCTGGGTACCTCCCCAAAGCCTTGGGAACGCAGGCAGAAAGCACCGCAAAGCTTTCCCCGAGCATGGAATGGAGTCTCCCTCTGTTGGGAGCCCCAGACTGTACGGAGAGCCCCTGTTACAGCCCAGGGGGGCCGAGGAAAGCAACCGTTGCCGAATCCAGTTTCTCTCCGGGGGCCAAGCACTCGGCCGTGAGCCCCGCGGGCTTTGTGCCGTACCGCAAAGCCTATGAAAAATGCCAGGGGGGACAGGGTGGATCCTTTTTGGATGGCAGCTACTCTGCTGTGTGTAACACCCAGAAGAACATGCCAGAGGTGAACGGCGAGAGTCCCAGCAAACCCATGTGGTCTAAGCTACCTCCTCCTCCCATCAGCTCTCTTGCAAATCCTGCATCCATGATGCATCACGAACGGTCCTCTCCAGGCTACCCGCCCCCTCCTTACCCCCTGACTGCTCATGAGCACATGCTGCTGTATCATCAGAAGTTCAGCCAAGCTGAGAAGATCAACTCTTTGTTCCCTCTGCCGGCCTGTAAAGGTTTCGGTTCTGCGGGCCGGGAGGATCCTCAGGGACTTCCAGGGTCTTACTTTCCTCCTGTGCCTGTGAGTTACTATCCTAGTCATCTGGAGAGTTACCTCTATAGGGCTTCTGGTCCGACTTCAGGGATTCCTCCTCCCGGCTTTCTTTCATCACGAGAACATGAGCATCAACAGAATTCAAGGGTGAGAGGAGACATGGGGAAGCCCCCCAAACTGGGATGGACTGCGCCAGAAAAGGCATCTTCCTGCAGCCCTTTGCCCAGGAACGGAGACACCCTTCGAGATTGTCTTGAAGGCAGCCAAGGGAAGGATAGGCAAGCCAACAATGGCTTTCCGAATCAACACCCAAGTCCCAGACCCCAGACTTCCCAGCCTTTTCCCTCGCTACATCGGTCACCCCTTTTCTTGAGCGGGTTTGGGCAAATGCCAGATCCTGGCTGTGTGGCTGGTTTTCCCCATCCGGAAAAGGCCAGACTCGGAGATGAGAAAGGCTTTTGTCCATCCAGACCACCTTCATTAACATCGGGTACCAAAAAGCAACAGGGGGATAATCGCAAAACTGAAGCCGGAGCTTGCATTGTTATTTCCGACAGCCCGGTCGCACGCCACGATTCCTCCTCTAAAGGAGACCTGCCCACGAGCGTTTCTGAAGACTCAAGGACCCTTCTGCTGAGGGTACCACAGTCGCCGGCAGAAAGAGCACAGAATGTTACTAAAAGGCCAGAAAGCCCATCGCTTTCGTCCTCCCCTCCTATGCCAGTGATCAACAATGTCTTTAGCTTGGCACCTTACCGAGAGTACCTGGAAGGTACTTCCGACACGGTGCAGATTCCCCTTTCTAAAAACTGCCAGTCAGAGGAGGACTCTCCCAAGGAGGGTGGTGGAAATGTAGAAAGTCACGGTTCCCGGCAGACCGATTCCATAAAGCCATCGGAAGCCTCTCCAGTACGACCCACAGAGGGGAAAGGCCCCTCCTGCAGTGGAATGACAGAAGGTAGTAAATGGCACCCTAGTAGTAATAGCCCAGACATCAGGACGAAGGATTCTCCTGTTGCTCAGGAGAATGTTGGGGTCAAATCTTTCCCTGCAGTCAGGGCTGTCTGTAGCTGGCCAACCTCAAGGGGTGGTGCCAGCAAGGGGACTGGGGAAACGGAGCATGAAGACCATGCGCTAGACCTCAGCTGTAAAATGGAGGGCTTGGTAGAAGGGCTGAGTCTTCAGAAGTCACCAGAGGGCAAGACGGAGGCTGTTGAAAATTCCAAAAGCAAGGGAGAGGAAGTGAAAGAGGAGTCAGCTAACAAGCACGACATTTTGCTGGAAACTAATTGGCGGACCTCGGAGCTGCCACTGAAAAGCGGTTCTGAAGGAAAGAGCAATTTCCAGAGTTCTGCAGCATTCCTCTTCAAAAAATTCAAGATCCTGAAATCCCACGCAGCCAGTATTGGCACTGCGGTGCAACAGAAGCCGTCTCCATCGTTTCAGCCAGCCTCCTCCAGCGCTTTCTCTCCTCCACTAGGTCCTGATCAAGCAGGCCCTCGACAGGACAGCCCCGTGATTCAGCAAAGCCCTTCCCAGGTGGTAATTCTGCAAAAGATTTTGCCAGCTCAAAGAAGCCCCCATCCTGGGGCAACTTGGACAAACAGCTCACCAGCTCAACAAAGCCCCCACCAAGGGGTGACTCAGCAGACCAACTTGCCGGTTCAGGAGTCGACTCAGCAAAATAGGTCACCAGCTCAACAAAGCCTCCGCCAGGCAGGGACGGACCAACGCAGTTCCCCGGTTCAACAAAGTACCTGCCAACTAGTAGTGACTCAGCAAACCAACCCCCCTGTTCCTCCAAGCCCTCACCAAGTGATGACTCAGCAGGGTAGCCCATCCATTCAGCAAGGCCTCCGCCAGGTGGCGACTCAGCCCGAAGCTCGTTTTTTGCAGCCGAAGGGCTTGACCGCCAAGCCGTCGGACACATCAAAAATCTTACCTCCTAGCACACCCGCCAGCTCTCCTGTGCTGGGAGAAACCAAAATTTTGGTTCCCAGCAGCAGCGAATCTCTCGGACAACAGCCGTCTCCTGGGCAGTATTTCACAGCCTTGCATACCTCCGTCTGCAGCACCATTTCCGGTGCAGTGTCTGCTTCCTCTCCAGAGCAGCTCGAGGAGTGGGTGAAGAAAGCCGAATCCCAGGCGGAGCCCAAGGAGAAGGGGGTGAGCTTGGCCAAGCCCAAGAATGGCTTGAAGACCTCCTCCTCGGACTTTCCGAAATTGTCCAAGGGCAAACAGATCTGGCTGGCCTTCAAGGAGGTGGGGACACTCTTTCGGAAACTGCTGTCCCAGCTGGACACTTTCTTGCTGACTCGCAAGTGTCCTTTCCCTCACGTCGTCCGAGCGGGGGCCATTTTCATCCCCATCCATGTGGTGAAGGAGAAGCTCTTCGCGAACCTTTCCAGTGCTTCCATTGACCACGTCTTGCAGGACCACAAAGTGGAGCTTCGTCCTACCACTCTGTCCGAAGAGAAGCTGCTGAGGGACTTGGAGCTGAGGAGCTGTACGTCCCGAATGTTGAAGCTGTTGGCCTTGAAGCAGCTGCCCGACATTTACCCAGACCTCCTGACCCTGCACTGGCACGAATGTGTGAAGCAACAGCTTGGTAAGTGTAGCTAAAGAGTGGGGAGGACCACCCATCAGTGTAAATGTGCCCATTCTCAACTGATGTCAGAGGCTAAGCATGACCAGGCCTGGTTAGGTGGGGTGAATTAAATTAAAGGCTGCATTAGGAAAGGACTGTAGTTGTCCTACATGGTTTGCAGGCAGAAGATCCAAAATTCAGTCTCCAATATATTCAGGTAGGACTAGGACAAAAACTGGCAGAAGTTCTAGAAAGCCACCACTGACAGTCAGAGTGGAAATTCTGGGCTAGACAGAACAATGATCTTAGTTCAAGGCAGCTTCCTCCATTCCTAATAATAAGAGCAGCAGGAGCAGCAACATGTCATAAACAAGGAAAAAGCTGTGTGGTCCTCTCTCACAATCTGAAGGTGAGTGAGTGATACTTTTTGTATAATGATAATACAGTGGTGCCTCGCTTAACAACGATAATCCGTTCCAGGAAAATCTCTGTTAACCGAAAACATTGTAAAACAAAAATTAAAACCCCATTCCAATGGGGTAAAAACTCACCATCCAGCGAAGCTCCTCCGTACGTCGGCCATTTTCGGTGCCTGTATAGTGAGGAATCCGTCCCTAAACACAGCGGGGCGCCATTTTAATCACCTGGTGGCCATTTTGAAAGTGCCAATCAGCTCTTCAGAAAACATTGTTTTGCGAAGAATCAGTTCCAGAAGCAGGGAACCGATCATCGCAATGTGAAATTCCCCCATTTGGACCATTGTTTTGCGATTGCAAAAAGATCATCGTTAAGCGGTTTCATCGTAATGCGGGGCAATCGTAAAGCGAGGCACCACTGTAATGTGTAGTCAAGTCAGTTTTGATTTATGATTACCCTTTCCAGGAATTTCTAGGTAGAGAGGACTCAGAAGTGGTTTTCCATTCCCTTCTTCTGGGGCATCTTGGGACTGTGCAGCTTTCCCAAGGCCACCCAGGTTGGCTCTCTGAGGTGCACAGTGTGGAATTGAAGTCCCAACCTCTGATTCTGCAGCAAGGTAGCTAACTCACTGAGCTATCCATGCAGCTGAATCCTTTCTTAGTCCATTGAAATTTTGCAGGCAAATGCTAGCTTTCAGCTCCGGCAGGAGTTTTCATCCTGTTGCATCTTACAGAGCCGGTGGTTGTGCAGAGGGACCAGCGGTTCTTTGGCTAAGAAGATTGGGAGGAACGTTGACATCTCAAACTTGCTACCTCCCACACTAAATCTGTAGCCCCCATTTTTGGAACTTCCTTTAAACAATGAAACCTGCATCTGGTCAAGCATTTTAGAATGTGTTTGATTCTTCTGCACCACCCTGATGCTCAGCCTGATTCAGGACCTCCTGTAGGAGTTGAAAGCTAGTTGTTTGCTTGAGAGATTTTAGTCGTCTAATAAAGGCATCACCCACCCTTGTATTTGAACAACATCCTAATTATACCCATGTGTTTTTATCTCTCTCTGCTTTTTCTTTTGCATGGACGTCATTTGGGAATTTCTTCTCAGTGGAATCTTTAAAATTTACATGGTTATGATTATAATTTAGTCCGCAGGATTCCTCCCTCCCTCCCAGGTTACTTAGCTATTATAAAGGGAGGTCATAACTTGAAAAAGGTTGGGAACCACTGATTTAGACTGGATTACTGCTCCCACCTTCCTTGACCATTTCTTCTGTTGGCTTTGCTTGATGGTCCAAAAGATCTCGAGGCTCCCAGAATAGGAATGGAAGGTCTTGATGGGCAAATACAGTAGCTGGACCTATAAGACAGTTTCCTGTGTGCTTATTTGGTGCAGTGACTTCTTTTTGCAGGTGGGCCTGGATAGCTCAGCAGCTTAGGTCTCTGGCTGTGGATCTAAAGCTTGGGAGTTTGATTCCCCACTGGGCTTCTTTGAACAGGGGCTGGATTCATAGATCCCTAGAGTCCTTCCAGCTTTGCGGTTCTAAGATGATGACTATGCTTCCCCCTACTTCAGGCTTGATGACCAGTGCTTCCACTGTCATTTCAGATGATTATCGACAACTTTATTTTTTCCAGGTCCAAGTTCACAGGCTGACCTGCATGCTTCCAAGTAGGTATCTGCTCTTTGCATGGGCGCATCTAACGTACAGCAGCTTGTAGAGAGAATGAAGAGTGCATCGCCACTGCACAGTTATAGCACTTCGATAGCATGTCCACTGCCACCCTATGGAATGCTGGGGTTTGTAGTTTCTGGAGTAACTTAGAATTTTGTGCAGTGGTTCAGCAGAGGACATCAGGTCTATTTAGCAGAGAAATCCAAGCACCCCACCAAACTGTATATCCCAAGATTCTCTAGTATGAAATGTGAAGGCGTAGGGATGGGGGCAAGGTAGTCAGTGATGGGCAATCTTGTCTAACAAGACTGGGGCAGTCAAATCCACATTTCCTTTCAGAAATCTGAAACCTCCCATCTAAAGAGTGGCTTTTGCAGCCTCTGTTTTGGAATTTTTAATGTCCCCCCCCCCCCGCAGCATCCCTAATGTTATAATGCCCAGCCTCATGATGACTCTGCAGGAGCTGAAAGCTAGCCTCTGTGTGTGAGATTTTAGTGGTCAAAATGAGAGCATTACCCATTTTGTCTTTCATTAGCATAGAGTCCAAAAGGTGTTTGACAAATACAACTGTGTGACGTAAATGCACTCACAGGATAAAAGAGAAAGAGAGTCAAACTGGTTTGAAATGTGTCTTAGAATGAATGGGTGGTGGAGGCGGGTACCAATATGGAATACAGTGGTGCCTCGCTTAATGACAATAATCCGTTCCAGGAAAATCGCTGTTAAGCGAAAACATCATAAAGCAAAATTAAAAAGCAAAAACATTGTCGTTAAGCAGATTTGTTGTAATGCGGGGTAATCATTAAACAGGGCACGACTGTATAGACATTTGGTTCCTACAATTCCAGAGGTAAGACAACTGTATGACAAAAGTGCTTTGATATGAATTCCTGCACTGAGCAGGAGATTGGATTCAGTAGCCTTATAGGCCCATTCCGACTTCATGATTCTATGATAACCCAAAAAAAAAATACATCTCTGTGTTCAAACACTCTGGGAAGCAACTCTTGGTTGACCTAGACCAGTGATCCACAACTTGGGAGTTTGTAGACATTGTTGGACCACAATTCCCAGAACTTTTGTCCGTTGGCTGTGCTAGTGGGGGCTTCTGAGAGGTGATGTCCAACAGTGTCTGATGACTCAAGGTGTATACCATTCTCCACCACTGCAGTAGAGAGTGCTGGCTTGATTTGGTTTAAGGTGGCTTGAGAGAAAAAGAAAATAGCAACACATTTGCAGCATTTTATTCTGACTAGATTAAACCTGGGAAGCGGGGGGCAGCATATTACATTGAGAACGCCTACATTAACTTCTTAACTCGACAGCAGTTCACCAATGGGATTTCCATCAGTTCTGTGATGCCGGCATAAAAACTCAATAGATTTTGGCCGGTCAAAATCAGCTTCTCTTTCTACCCATTCATTCTAATCCTGCTATGTTGGACAATTGAGAATAACATGACCCTATTTAGGATCTTTAAGATCACAGGGAGTCTTGAACTGGGTCACCCCGAGTCTTTGTGTTGGCTGGAGAATTTAACCAATGATCTGTCAGAGCTACGAGATCATTTTTAGTTTTGCTGGAGCCAGATTTGAGGTGGTGTTGCAGCTGTTGTGGGCAGGAAGACACCCACTGTATGGGATCCTTTGAGTGAAGAGTCTGCAATTCAAATTGTAGAAATGTGTAGGAAGTTGCTAATTCACTTGATTTTTAAAATTTATATATATATTCTTCCTTTTTCTTAGATGATGCCGCCAGGGAGACCTCAAACAGTGACAGCAACGCTTCGGGAGTAGGCGGCTTGAAGCGACAGGATGCAACTGTATGTTTACAGGATGTGTCATCTGGATCTCTTGAGTGGAATACCCATGGAAATAGTAAGCAAGGCAGAAAATGCGGGTTGGTACCTCAGGATATATCTACCTGCTTCTCCTCTGAGACCGGCCAACGAGTAGATGATGAAACCTCTCAGGAGCTTACCTTGCCTGTCTTGGGAAAAGGTGCTGCCACGAAGGACCGAGAGTGGCCCGCTGAGGAGAAAGGGACCATCATCTCTGGGGCTTTGGAGGCCAAAGGGCTCCACTGTGGTGCTAAGAAGCAGCACTCGCCCACCTGCAAGTTACCCAGGACTCTTCAGGTGAAAGTGACAAACAAGGTCGCCAGGAAAACAATCAGCACCTCAAAGGTCTTTCAGCTCCGGAAGTCCGTGGTTCATATCAAATTCCAAAATGCTCTGAGGGATATAAAAGAGCCGTCCAGCCTTAATCCCGTGGGGAAGAAAGGGGGAAAGCCCGCTTCACAGTTCTTGAAGAGTTTTGAGCGGCGCAGATACAGTGGCGTGAGGGCCTCTGCTTTGCCCCTGAGGTATCCCGAACTTGTCGGCAAGCGGATCAGGCACCTGTACGAGGAGAAGGACAAGACGGAGGCATGGTATCGAGGGGTGGTGCTGAGGGTGCACAAGCACCACAGGGACCCCCTGAAAACCGTTTACGAGGTCAAATACGACAGCGAGCCAGAGTGGCAATATTACCTCGAGATCCTGCAGGACTATAAGAAAGGCTGGCTGAAGTTGGACGAGTGAGCGACCATCGGTGGCGTTGACGCATGTAGACATGCGAGACAGAGTCTTGCTGGCGGGCTTGGACATGGTTGGCAGATGGGTGATGTAGTGACATGTCCCATGTGTCTTCAATGATGAGGTGGGCCCAGTTCCTCGGCAGGCATGGCTCCCGTGGATGCCAAGAAAGTTTGCCAGACATTTTCAGTCCTCCGTTGCCCTGTAGATGGAATATTCGAATTAGAAACATAAGGTTACGAAATGGCTTCCATGCTCAATTTGGCACCAGAGCTGGTTATATATTTGCTTCTGAAAGTGGAGGCTGGTGACAAAAACCTGTTCCAGCCTCTTTCTTAATTTCCCCCCAGTGCTAGGTGTGGAACATGGTGGGAGGAGGACCAGAAATTAGTATTGCTCAAATACTGGCCTTGGAACAGTGGAGGTAGAGCCCACGAGTGTTTTTCATCTGCTGGCTTCTATGAATTGTCACCAGCAAGTGTTCAAATCTTGAACAACTTGCTCTTTTCTTTTCTTTTTTTAACAATAAGGCCCAGAATCCTCTAGCCAACAGGGTGGGTGGGGATTTTGGGAACTGCAGTCCAAAGATGTTACATTTCCAAGCTCTGCTACTGCCAGCTTCTGAAGTCAGTTCTGTTTGGTGGCTGTGCCTGCAGGCACAAATCAAAAGTCGTTTCTCCACTTGATCTCCCCTTTTTGTTTTAAAGCACATTGATCCTTTAAAAAGAAATGCAATCTTTTAAAGACAGATCAGTTTGAAGGGCTGTGTTGTCTCCAAAAGGTCAGTGGAAATGTGGTTTCTGTATCTAAAAGGATGATCTTTTTCTCCCTCGCCCCCTGGCTTGAAGTACCACATTTCAGAAACGTGCCTTGATGAGGAATTGCTGCTACTTTTCGTTTTTGTTTTCAAAGTCATCAAATTTGGTGCTTTTCTTTGTGTGACATTTTCCAAGTGGCCTTGAGGGTTGGGGACCTCCAGTCTTATCCCTCCTAAGATGCTCTCTGTTCCTGATTTATGCTAAAAAAAGACCACGCGGAGGACAGTTAAGGGCAGGTATGGCATTAAGCCTGAGCAAACAAATACCGCTGAGATTTGGGAAATCGCCAAGAAGAAGAGGAAGATTCGTGCTGATAAGACTTTGGCAAGTACTGTCCTAAAAAATGAAAAGGAGGGAGTGGAGAGGGAGACCCAAATGTTATTTTAAAAGGATAATTGCATCCATTGCAAAAATGCCAACATGCGCTGGGTCTGTGATGGTTCTGCACATTAAGTGCTTTGGGGACAAAAAGGTCCTTTTTTTCAGGAGTAATCTACACTGGATCCTGGGGATTCAAGAGGCAGCTCTTTGACTGGCAGTAACATCACAAACAGACAGACGGCCTCTTTAGCATTCATGTCTCCTTCTGGCTCTTTGGCAGATTTTAGGAGACAAGCAGAAATAACTCATTCACATGGCCAGCTGGTTGCACAGGAGGTATTTTTTTATCTCATATAAAGCTAGCAAATGGAAGAACTGCTCTTTTTTTTTAATTACAGCAGGACCCCTGTAGCCGTGGAATCGGTATCTGCAGTTTCTCCACTCTGGTTTGAAAATATTTAAAATATTTTTAAAAAAACCTAGAAATATGTATTTTCAAGATGTATTTACCACTACTGGCCATTAGAGGGAGCCAGAAACCATGCTGTGTATTCATGTTGAAGAATACCGAGCGTGGTCTCTGGCTTCCTCTGGTGGTCAGTTCTGGTAATACATAGTGAAAATGTGTATTTTTGGATTTTTCTTCTTTTATCATGGTACCCAACGCATTTGCTATTATCCGTGGTTTTCAGCATCCACGGGAGGCTTGGAACCCATCTCCCATGTATACCGGGGTCCTGCTATATAACCTTCTGAGTCCCCTGTGCTGGCTGAGGAACACTGGGAGTTGTAAAAAAAAACTTCCACCTGTGTGCAAATGCACAGAGGATGGAAGGCGATTGTCCTTACATGATGTGCAGGGCAGCACTTTCCAACTTTTCTACTTTTCTTATATTTTCCATGTTTGTGTGTACATGCAGGTCTCTTGGGAAAGGTGAATGCCACGGATGCGGCTTTTCCCACCTTGCACTCTTTTGCCAGACAACGAATAAATGTTTTTTAAAAATAGTACTGTGCAGCCTTCTGGGAACAAGTGTTTAATACTGTAGATTTTGTACAAAAGTTTCTACGGGAGCCTGTTTGCCTTTTTATTTAAGAACTTCTTTTTGTAAGGATATAGTTTCTAAAAAAAAAGGTGTTTCACCAAGATTAAACTGTCTGTTTTGGAACTGGTGTGTTGCTGATTTCTCTTTGTGCCATCATCATCCATAATCCATCTAATCATATACTCCAGCAGTTGAGTGATCGGTCTCATAGAACAGGAGAGTTATGAAAGTTTAATTGTTTTATATGCTGGGAAGAGTTCTTTCTTAAGTTTTGAAAAGTCAGTTAAAGTGAAAGGATTTGAGAGAGAGAGAGACCAAAAAATTTCATTAGATTGTGCAAGTGCACAGTCATAACCAAGTCCCTGAATACCATTTTTTTTCAGTTGGGTTTTTCAAGTTTTACATGTTTTTAGTCATTTGGTGTATTTTAATTGCTATTATACTTTAACCGTTTTAATGTATACTTTATTTTTAACTCTTTTAACACCGTGAGCTGCCTTGAGTCCCTCTTATTGGAAGAAAAGTGGCCTATAAATAAAACAAATCAACGTAAGTAAGTAAGTAAAAAATAAGTGTGTAGAAGACATAATTTCAAGAAAAAACAGGCTATAAAACATTTCTCCAAATCTATATTTGCCTAATAACTTTATTAGACGGATCAAGAGGGCAGAAAAAAGGGTGCAAGCTTTTGAGGTCATGAGTGGGGCAAAATATTAGAAAACAGGGGAAGAGGAGAGGACCTTAAGGGGCCTTGAGGGAGATGGAAGGCTGTGAAATTGAAGTCAGTACTGTTAAATTTTGCCTCAAGAGTAGCCCATAGATGTTGGGAGTCAGAAATTTGAGCCTCCATCTGAGGTTATGCAAATTCCCACAGTAAATCCCAAGATGGATTTCTGTCCTGCTGGGGCTCAGAATCTTTTGCTGGTAGAAAACAGGTTGCAAAAAGTTCCTATTAATCGAGGCCGGGAGACGTTTTAGCTCCTGGATTAGGTAAAGGATGCTAACAGCCGTCAGACTGGATCGCTTTGCGTATCTCAAAAGCCTTGTTTAAGGGAGATGGGGGAGAGAGGAGATGATGATGAAACAGACGGCCACAGGTCTTATCTAATTACAGTGATTATCCTGGAGGAAGGTGTACTGGTGATGGGTATGAGTTTTGGATTTTTGGTCTCGCCGGCGAAACCCAGCCTTTCCAGGCATCTAAATTGTGCTCACCTGGAATGAAGGCTTGTAACTTGTAACTCCTTGTTTGAAAAAAAAAAGCGTGGTGGTGGTTGCTGGGGAGTTTCCTTTTCCAACAGAAAGTTAGGTTTACCCAAGGCATGAGGCCTGCCGGCTGTACCTTCTGTGGGTTGATGGTGGAAGCAGAGCGGAAGGGAGCAGAAAATGCCATTTGTGGGTGCGATGATCAAACTGTATGGGCTTAAAGGGGCCTTTTTTACTTACAGACACGTTACTATGGTTTGGGGGATGTGTATGCTTGAGGAAAATAGGTGGGCCCCTGTGCTGCAGGGTCAGAACACCAAGCAGTCGTAAGATCGAATCCACGCGACTGAGTGAGCTCCCGTCGCTTGTCCCAGCTCCCGCCAACCTAGCGGTTCGAAAGCGTGCAAATGCAAGTAGATCAATAGGGACCACCTTGGTGGGAAGGTAACAGCGTTCCGTGTCTAAGTCGCACTGGCCATGTGACCACGGAAGATTGTCTTCGGACAAAACGCTGGCTCTATGGCTTGGAAACGGGGATGAGCACCGCCCCCTAGAGTCGAACACGACTGGACAAAAATTGTCAAGGGGAACCTTTACCTTTACCTTTACCCACATACAGTGTCAAACCGGTACAATTACTTTTAGAGAACTTTTCCCCCTAATTACTTCTTGCCCTGTCAGATCAAAAACCCTTCCTGTGACTGTGTTACTGGTTGCAAAAAGTAACTGATGGCATTGCTTGTTACACTACCACTTTTCCTTCCTCCCCCCTCTCCCTGACACTCACTATAATGAGTAAAAGAAATGGCATCAAAGTTGAACAAAAATCTTGTCAAAATGCGCTCAAAGAGTAACATTTGAAAGTAATTTGAAAGCATTACTCATCCTCATTCCTGCTCCTGGTGTTATTTCTGAAATATAACCAATCAATAGGTACAGGAGGCAGTATCAGTGGGGGATCGGTTCCAAACCCCACAGATGCCACTGAAAAACACAGAAGTAGCAATTGCATGGTCTTTGACTGCCTCTAGTGGCCAGTTCTGGAAAAACTCTAGAAATAAAACACAAATACGTGGTGCCTCGCTGAACGAGGATAATCCGTTCCAGCAAAATCGCTGTAGAGCGAAATCCTCGTTAAGCGAAATAAAAAATCCCATTGAAATGCATTGAAAACCCGTTCAATGCGTTCCAATGGGCTGAATACCTCACCATCCAGCGAAGATCCTCCATAGGGGTGGCCATTTTCGGTGCCTGTAAAGTGAGGAATCTGTCCAAAAACACAGCAGGGAGCCATTTTACACAGCGGGTGGCCATTTTGAAGCCGCCAATCAGCTGTTTTAAAAACATCGTCTAGCGAAAAATTGGTTCCTGAAGTAGGGAACTGATCATTGGGAAGCAAATTTTGCCTATTAAAACATTGTTTTGTGATTGCAAAAGCGATTGCAAAATAGTCATCGTATAGCGGTTTCATCGTCTTACTAGACAATCGTTAACCGAGGCACCACTGTACACATTTGTGGGATTACCTATATGTATTTGCTATTTTCAGGTGGTGGATGAATGAAACAGATGATGATTCCACAGATATGTGGGGTTTTACCATATAATGGTAAAGGACAAGTGAGAAACCTTTGTTTTCCAGATTTGGAAGCACCTCCCAGAGTATCAGACCAAGCTTTCTCCCATCATCTCCTTTCCAGTTGTTTCTCCAAAGTTTCGAATTTCTGGTAACATTTCTTTTTGCTACACAGTAGAAGTACAGAGACCACCACAATAGAATAGCTGCAAGCTTCACAGAGTCCACCCCTTATTAATTAATTGGCACTTGCAAGTCTCAATAACTCACTTTGAGGCATTCATACTAGAAATAGTAAAATACTATGTCTTTACTTAAAATTGCTTGAAATTACAGACTTGTGTTTGCTGCTTTCTTTACTGCACTCATACTAGCAACCAACCAAACATATCAACAACAAAAAATTGCCACCAAAAGGTCAAAGAGGGAAAAAGAAATTTCAGCAGAGGTGGGAGGGGCCTCTCTTTGAATGAAAAGGCTGGAAGGAATTATTGGCTAGTATTGGATAGATATACAGTTCCACGGCCCTGAAAAATCCCTCCCAGTTACACAAACTACAGATACCATGTGTGGTTGTAAATAAAACTCCAGCACTTTTAGCCTGGGACTTCCTACACAAAGAAAGTGGTCCATCGCTGGTATTACGCAATCATGATAGCATGCACTCATTTATTGTGTGTGTGTGTGTTCTGTGCTATCAATTCAGACCCAACTTAAAACTACCCTAATAGGGCTTTCAAGGTAAGTAAGACATAAGGTGTGGTTTTACCAGTTCCACTCCCCAGTGAATTTCATAGCTGAGCAGGGATTCGAATCCTGTTCTCCAGAGTCCTAGTCCGTCACTCTATCCACTACACCACAATGGGAATCCCTGATACCTTTATTAAGCCATTAAAAATAGGTGATACTATTAATATCCACCCTCTTCAAGGAAGCTATTGGGCAGCAGCAGTAGCTGGAAATGACGCAGGTGGAGGAGGCTATGACAGTGATGCTCAAACAAACTTTCGTAAATACTGCACAGGAGGTGGCAAGAAGAAAGCCCTACTGAACTTTCTATGAAGACCCTATGATGACATAGTCCAAAGTGCAACAAGAGATAGTGCTGGAAAAAGAGCCTCCTAGGGCGGAAAGCATTTGACCAGCTACTATGAGAGAGGGACTGACTCCTTAAAAGAGGTCAAAGGTTTGAGTTCAAGAGCTGAACAGGGCAGTTGAGGAGAGTGCTCATTTCATAGAGCCGTCATTGAGTCTGAGGCGGACACATAACATTCCAAAGCAAGCTAGCTTTTGACCTCTACTAGCCTTCATCAGGCGGCTTAATTCTATACCATTTTGCTTGAAATACCCCGCCAGTCAATATTAGTGCAACAGTTTTATGAATGAACAGTGTTCATTCTGTAATTATCCCTGTAATTACTCCCTGCACTTCATTGCCCTTTGTGACACTGCATGCGTCTTGCCAGAGCTTCTAAATAAGTTGTCAAATACACATCTCCCTTCCACACTGTTGAGCTTTGGAGAGACAGACCCCCCCCATGTAGTTCAAAATCTGTGTATAACTCTAATGCCCCTCCCCGCACATAGCTACAAGCACCAACTGCTAATAAACACAAACGCACACCTCCCCTGCCATGAGGTGAAACTGCTATGGCAGGGAAAGGGGCCACCACCAACAGCAGGATCACAGATGAGCCTGAGACCCACCTTTTTGCAGGCCGCTTCCTGGAGATGAATAGCAGCACTATGCGTATGCTTGCCTGCCTGCATGCATACATATCTATACCTACCTGGGGGAAAAACACATGGAACAAAAATCATGCTGCTCAAATCCATGCAATTCAAGGAAGAAGTGTATAGCTCTGTTTTGCAATGTCAAGAAACCTAACTTTGCAGGGGGAAAAGCGGCCTCTGGCCCACCAGAAAGCTCAGGCTGAAGATAATATTTTAGATACCCATGGCTTTCCAGATGTTAACATTGCTACTGTCATCCTCCTCCCATCATTGGCTACGCTGCGGAGGGCAGACCAAAGTTGTCATCCACCCACATCTGGAAGGGCCACACCGTCTCAGCTCCTGCTTTAAAGGATCGTGAATCTTTAAACGTGGCTTTGGCTGCACAAGAAAGACTCGCTGACCCACCGTGCCTGGGGGCGATGGGCTTGTATGGAGCACATCTGGAAAGCAGCAGATCGGCCAGGGTGGTGGCATGCTTTGTTGCCACCAGAAATCTTTCGCTGTTGCTGGGCCAAGCTGGCAGGGGCAGGCTCAGAACACTGGGGTGAGATGCACCACCAACACAGACATCAGGGCAAACGTCTGCTGCAGGACTCTGACAAAA